CTTCAGTTGACACAGCAAGAGAAAATGACGGTTAACATAAAGAGCCTTGTTGAGTCACAGAATCTTCTGTCTAATATCATCAAAAAAAAGTACCCAGTAAATGCTCCCATAATACTAAAATATCTAATATCCACGCTGTAATAAAAACATTTATTCAGGGTTGGACTCCTGTTAGTATTTCAAGTCTACTGCACCAACTCCAATAGCCCGACTGTGTGAATTGTTAAAACTTTATAAACCTGCATGTGTGTCATGGTCTTGCTCATTTTCCTGTTTGTTAAATTGGAAACACTGCTTGTCTGTAGGTGTACCGCTATGGAGCCATCATAGGGTATGCTTGCTTCGGGCATTTTCTGGCCCAGGTGTTCACATGTGAGATCTTTCTCCCAGTCTTTTACAGGCTGCCCATTACCAGCACTTTTCAGGTATGTGTAGTAGCTTTTTGCAGATTGTGTACAATAACCAGAAGCGCGTCCGTAATTTAAAGGGAAGAAATCAGCTTATTTGGTTTCTGGTTAAACCAGTTATGATTTATTGTGTAATAAAATGTTTGTTTGTTTTTTAATTAGACTGCTCTATGGTACAATAAATGCACCACTAGTTTGTTTGTTTTTAAAAAAAAGTCTGTTTGGATGCTGTATGAGTAACTGTCTTCTCTACCAAGTATCTGGAGCTGCGTTATAACAAAGTAACCCGTCTGCTGGTAACATTCCTCGCTATTATTCAAACAGCGAGTATGGCAGTAAGCAAGTTTTAAGACGTGTTTGGCTAGGGCCACATATCTGTAACCAGATGGCCATTTGTCCTTTTTTTTTTTTTTTTACCACAGCTCCTTTTGTCTGGACTTGCAATTTATGCTCCAGCCCTCGCATTAAATCAAGGTATAGTCAGGCCAAAGCTGACAGGTTCAGGAAACATTACTGCACAAGTAAACTTGTGGGTACTTGAGTGACCAGTATCTTAAATGTTCCCACTTCTCTGCAGTGACTGGCTGGAATCTGTGGGTGGTAATCGTGGTAACAGGAATGGTCTGTACGGCATACTCCGCATTGGTATGGAACAACAAAAGCTGCAAAAGTCATCTCTCTCTCTGCTATACATTTCCCTTAAACTGAACTGTTTCTTGCTTTGACTGTCTGGATTTAAATGGGCTCATTATTTCAGGGTGGAATGAAGGCAGTGGTTTGGACAGATGTTTTCCAGGTAGGCTTCGACACGCAAGATTACTGTTAATGCTACATAGCCTACATAGAAGAATATCAAATGAGTCAATTTCGAGTGCCAGGACATTTGGCTTTAATTCTAAATCACAATTAAACTTGAATTCTAGTTGTAGCAGTGGGGTAAATGTCTTGATATAATCCGATTTTTATCTTCTAGGTTGGAATAATGTTAGCCGGCCTTCTGTGTCATATCCAAGTGTCTCTCCTTAGGAGTCTCTATTCTGTCCAATTCACAAGGAGGAAGACTGAACTTTCTGGAGTGAGTATAAGGGAAGAAAGTAAAGTAACTTTAAGAGCCTGCATATTCAAACCCTTGCATCTCAATACTGAGGAATTGTTTTGGCAAATTGAGTACAATTTTGCACCATAATTCAAATGATAGAAATGTACAGTACATTAAAGTGTGTATTTGAGCCCCACTGTTGGAACTGAGTGCAACAAAAGCACTGCTTTCTTTACTTGGATTTAAATCACAGTACTTGAACTAGGCACGTTGATAGACTGAACTTCTGGAAACAAATTGCTTCTGTACTATAGTCTGAAAATAAGCCAAAGAACTCTGGCTGAACCCCAATATAGGGAGTGATTGTCCAGGTAAAGGCAAACATTTTTTTATTTTTTTTTAAACCGCTCTAAATGAATAAGTCAAAACGACTCAATAGCCCAGGGGTGTCAAACGTAAGGCCAAGGGGCCATAATTGGTCTACCAGAGACTCTGACCAAAGTAGATAAGAAAGAACAATCAATTATTATTATTTTTTTTAAAAGTGGGTCAACAGTAAAGACCTCCAACAATTTTTAAACTTTACACATTTCTTACATTTTAAGATGGTCCATTGATGGATTTGCAGCTATATTTAAATGTATAATTAAACTGTACAGAAAGGAAGTGACTGGTTCAGCCCATGTCTCCTGCAGTGCTAAGGCTTTGACATCCCTGCAGCAACTTCTGACATGTTTGACCATATTAGCGTACTCTAATCTACTCTTACTCGGGCTTATTTGGATAGATTGCAAAGATGCTGAATATGTTACAGTGCTGGGGTTTAAAATCACATTAACTTTTCTGAGCAAATATTATTCTGCCTTTTCACTACAGTATTGTCTTGTGACAAACACCAGGCCAGTTTTTCCTGGAAACCTCATTGACATATCTGTGTAGGCTCTTAGTCATCCATCATCAGTCATATAAGGAGTTACGGGTCATATTGATGCATTTGCGTGAAATCATTAGGGTCTGTAGTTACTGTTTTTTAAATATGAATAAAGTTGCACAATTGTCACTTCACTTTAGATGATTCATAGGGTCAGTGGTGTGTGACATTTTTAAATACGATGAAGGAATACAAGACAGTCAAAAGGAGTTTTATAGAGCTACGTGCACGGGTGAGTGATCGAGTGATACTCACACCCGAGGCATTGCAGTCAGATTTATTTATACCAAGAGACAGTTGCATAGCATTTCCTGTTTTTCAAGCTTACTTATTAGCATGTGTATGTGTGTGTGTGTGTGTGTGTGTGTGTCAGGATGTAATAGCATGTGATACAAAAATATATGAACATTTTAATACATTTGAAAGCTTTATAACGGAGGTATCTTTTAATAATAGACATCTGTAGTTTAAACTTAAAAGTTACTTCTATCATTCCCTGCTGTTGTTCAAATATTTTGCATCTTATCAACTTCTAGTCACTTGCGGGTACATTTTCAACTAGAGTGTCATTTAGCAAAGTTAAATGTTCAACATTATAAATTCTTTTTCCTTATTTATATGTCGTCCTCTTCTTCCTCAGAGTCTGTGTCACTTTCATTGTTTTCAAGGAGCATCATAGTCTCTGGTGGGGATGTGACATGGGGAGTTATGGCTGTTGCGATAAGTCTGTTTATCAGTGCTCTGATACAAGGTATGCAACAGCATCCGCACAAGGTGAGTATGGCTGCGAATACTGCTACAGATACCAGGATTGATGACACCAAACTCCGATATTTCCCAAACATGTCCATCCAGTTGTCCCACGTAGAAGTGTCAACTCCAGAATGCTCCTTCATTTTCTCGTTCAGAGTCTTCAGGCCTTCTAGGGCTCTGGTCAGACTTCCATCAGCTGCGGTGTTGTTAGGGATGAAGGTACAACATTGCTCTCCGAACATCGAACACACCCCATTCTTCTCGCTCAGTAGCATGTCCAATGCAATTCTGTTCTGGAAAGACATCAGTGAGGTGGCTCTTAGTTGCTCGGCCACTGAATGGAAGCCTGATTGTGTCAGGTTTCCTAGTCTCTGGACGTTATAGTGGATATAGTTAATTCGGTCCACATTCTTGTTGATTGTACACCACCAGCACACCGACGATTCGAAACCGGCAGCCACTTGGTCCACTAGTTTATATTCGTCTGGTACTCCTCTGGGAATGCCTATGGCATCGATGTACGTTGGGTCTGGTCCAGGTTGTTCTGGTGCTGATCTCTTTTGTCGTGGGTTTATCTTCAGTCGTCCTGCTGTTATAGTTATATCCGTGGCTTTGAGTTTTACAACCTGAATGGGTAACAACAGTGATACCAATCCACACATGCCGATCCAGTTGTTAGGCAAACGATCATACAGGTTTGGGTCTCCACACCACCACCAGACATCAGCTCTGCTTCGTGGCTTGAATGAGGAGTCCACCTTTGTAATGGTTAGGCAGCTAGTTGCGTTGAGGCTTCCCAGCCTTTCTCCTGGGCCTATCATATTTATGCAGGTGTGGTTTGCTACCATCACATCTTGTGAGAATATGGGTTTTCTTTTTTCTTCGTTGGTGATGGGAAAGATTCTGTCCCATTTTGTGCAGTTCTTGTCTTGAATGTTGGTATGGTTCATTACAGCTGTCAGGCAGTTTTCTTCCATAGGTGCAGGTACCACTCTCAGTATTGGTCTTGGTCCTAGGCAGACCATGCAGTCATCACTAGCATCTTGAGCTGCTTGTTCTGCCAATAGTAACCAGTTATTTGAGTGTCCTGTGATCCCTGTGGTGACTCGGAACCAGTCGTCTGGCTTTAGTTTTGGTCCCACTATTATGGCAGTATTCATCGTTTTTGAGAGTGGGCCTGCAGATAAAGCCGGGCTTCCGTTTGGTTCGTCTTCTTCCTGTGGCGCCTCTGTGGATGATGGGACCATGCCTTTCGTTATGTTATTGCATATTGACACGAAGTGATGTGGATCTTTTCCGGTCTTGTAGATAAATAGGGTCAGATGGTAGCAGTTAGAGTTACTTGCCAGCGTTGGAACCAGGTGGGTTCTTTTCTGTGATTTTGGTGGCTTCTCCAGCAATGGGTTGTTCAGCGTGTGGAAGTTGAGGATCAGGTGTTCGGCTGTCTTCGTCAAGTTCATTTGCTTTGAAAGGTTTTTTGCTGATTCTTGCAGTTGACTGCTTGATATGGCATCCAATCATTTCCAGTATAAGTGAAAACGGTGTCCCATCCTGGGTTGTTTCCGTCTGAACTGGATAGGTACCAGTCGTAGCCTTTCCAGGCTTCGGCTTTGTATCCTCCTATGTAGAATGAGTTAAAAGGTATCCATACGGTAGAGGTGAAGCTTGTCTTGTTGTAACACAGGTAAAGGTCGTCTGTTTTCTTTGCCTGTCCGTCTGTGTCATTACAAGGGTTGAACCCGTGTGTCTGGGAGACAACCAGCAGGCTCAGAAGAGTTGGTAATAGCATGTTGGTCATCTTGATTGGATGATTTTCCCTTGGGTGAGCGTCTCTTCTTCTTGACCTTGTGTCTCTCTCTCAAGACCCCAGTGAGTAGACCCCGGCCAGAGAGGTGGGTTCACGAGTGTTGCCACCTGATCACCCTACCCCCCACCGGGCGAACACAAAGAGGTCTGGAGGAGACTAGGGTCTATGCTTTAGGTAGGCTCTACCCTTTTGGTGTGACTTTGATGAATCCACGAAGGTCGTTCAGCAATTTTGCATGCCGTGGGCGTGGTGATCAGGACCTGGTAGGGGCCTTCCCACCTGGGAGTGCTCCAGTTTTTCCTTTGGAGTACTTTGATCAGGATCCAGTCGCCTGGTTTCAACCTGGAAGAGACTGGAAGAGAATCACTCGGCAGTTGATTGTTCGTTATTATTTCTTTATTCTCTAGCAGCTTTGCCATCCATTCTGCTAATGTTGTTTCTCTTATTGATTTATCTATTGGCTCACTGGTAACAGGGAGGGGGAAGGGTCGCCCATGTACTATCTCAAAAGGTGTTAGTTTGTTTGAGCCCTGTGTTAATCTCATCCACATTTTAACTAAACCTATGCACTCAGGCCATGGGCGGCCAGTTTCCTCCATACATTTTCTTAGCCTTTGTTTGATCGTGCCATTTGTTCTTTCTACCAATCCTGCGCTCTGTGGGTGGTAGGAACAATGGTGTTTTATGCTGAAACCTAAAGCTTCAGAGACTTTTGATATTACTTCATTCACAAAGTGTGTGCCATTGTCAGATCTTATTAGGCTCGGTATTCCGTATGTTGGAATATAGTGATTGCACAGACATTTTGCTACTGTTATTGCGTCAGCCTTTTTCACTGAATAGATCTCAGGCCATTTTGAAAATACATCTATTATTACTAGTGCGTACTCTAGTTGTTGGTGCTTGTGTAGTTGGATAAAATCCATGTGTATGGTATGAAATGGGTGAGGTGGAGTGGGGAAATGACCTCTTTGGGGCCTTAGATTCCCTTGGGCATTGTGTTTTTGACATATCATGCATGTTCTAACATACTCTTTTGCTGAAGTTTCAAAATTTTTTGTGTAGAATTGTTTAGAGAGTATATCTACCATCCCTGCTGTTGACACGTGGGTATTACCGTGTGTCACTAACGCTGCAGTTTTATGCAGGGACTTCGGCAAAATCGGTTTGCCATGACATGTCATGATATCATCCTTTAATGTTGCTCCTTCCTTTAACCACGAGGTTTTTTCATTTTGTGATGCGGCCTTTTGTTCGTCTATCAGTACTGTTATGGGTATTAAAGGAGAGGAAGTTAATGCGAGAACTTCTGTTTTTCTGCCTGCTGCTTCCTTTGCGGTTTCATCTGCAAAATTGTTCCCTCTAGTAATGGCTGAATTATCTTTCTGATGTGCAGCGCATTTGCATAGAGCTAGGTGTTTTGGCAACATAATTACTTCTAAAAGCTTTTTCAAAAGTTCACCATGTTGTACTGGGGTCCCTGTGGATGTTACCATTCCTCTGTTCTGCCAGATTTTAGCAAAATGGTGTACTGCGGCAAAGACATACTGGCTGTCTGTGTGGATGTTTACATCCTTATCTTTGTGTAATTCACAGGCTCTGATTACCGCTATTAGCTCGGCACTTTGTGCTGAGTATGAGGAGGTTAATGGCTGTGCTTCAATGACTGTATCTATTGTTGTCACAGCATAACCTACACAGTTTCGGCCAGTGTTGTCTTTACTTGCGGACCCATCTACAAAAATATCTAAAAAGGATGGTTGTGGTGTACTATATATATCGGCACGTGGTTTCGTTTCCTCATCTAGCTTGTGAAGGCAGCTATGTGAGTCACCATCTATTTCTGCAGGAAGCAATGTGCTTGGGTTAAGTTGGCCACACTTCTCTATGGTGATGTGCGATTGTGATAGCAAAATACCTACGTATGATAATTGTCTTACATGTGTCAGATATGATAAGTTTGCTTGCAACAGGATTGAGGTGACTGCATGTGGTACTTTGACTATTAAAGGATGTCCCAAAATAATATCTGCTGACTTTTTTACTGCTTCTGCTGCTGCTGCACAAGCCTGTACGCAGGTGGGGAGACCAGAGGCTACACAGTCAAGTTTGCAGGAATAAAATGCCAATGGTCGTTGTTTATCCCCAAAGGCTTGTGTCAGTACAGCTTTCATATATCCAGAGCTGCCATCCACATGTAAATAAAATGGTTTGTCATAGTCTGGCAATGCTAGGACAGTGCTGGTTTGTAATGCTGATTTCAGATCATGAAATGATTTTCAGCATCAGGTGTCCATGTCAGTTTGTCTCTTAAAGCTAGATTTTTCCCATATATTAAGTCTTGTAGGGGTTGGACTCTGAGAGCATATTCTGGAATCCAGCTTCTGCAAAAGTTACAGAGACCGAGGAAACTCATCATTTGCTGCTTTGTTAGTGGTTTTGGGGCTAAAGTCACCCTAATTCTTTCGTAAACCTCATTTAGTGCGGCGGTCAGATCAGCATGGCCCGCTTCTATCGGCGTTCCATCTTCTCTTGTCCCTATGTAATTTCCCCTTACCCTGGCTAATCTTAGACCTAAAAGGTCCTGCAGCACCTGTAGCATTTCTCTACCATTAAGACACCAATCTGCGCGGATTAGCTCTACTGCATCTCTCCACTGCTGGTGTCCCTCATTTAAAGGGGGCACATCTTTCAGAACATTTTTCGGTCTTCTGCTGACCACGGGCGGAATGAGTATGTAACTACTCTATTGTCCCTGGGATTACACCGTCTACTGCTGGTCCCGTTGCGCGTCCATAGTTTGGGTTTGGTTCTTGGATCAATGGGAATTGGCCTAACGGAGACAGGGGCCATAAAGGGGGTGGAAACCCTGGAGAAGGGTCCGGTTGCGTCATTAACTTTAGCTGTGTCTTAACTGATGCGTATGGATCTTGAGGGCTGGTGAAAGGGTTTTTTGAGATGGTGGGACATGGGGTTGGGGGGCTCGACTGTCCCGCTTCAAAAGGATTCGGGGCTGAGGGCTGTGGTTTATAAGGTGGGGGGTTTGTGGTCTCGGTGGGTACTTTCTTAGCCTGCTTGTTTTGTTTTTCTTTTCTCTTTTCCTCACGTCTTTTACTCTCTTCCTGCCATGGCACAAAGAAACTAACGTATTCTGACATACGTCTACCTTTCTTTTTGCCTTTGCTTTTTTCTATTTCCTCCTTCAGACATTGTCCGAGTTGTTGCACTGGGGTGGGGTTACTGATTCCCTTCCAGGCAACACAGTTAAGTTTATCTGGATTCCTCCACTTATTTGCACTTATTTGGCCGGCACCTGGATGGATTTTCTCCATCCACTGCTCATCAGCGGTTAATTCAGGTTTTGTGGGTTTGTTTCCCATGGTTATTTGTTTTTATTTTATTAATACTGCCAACACACACTATGGGGCTTGGTGGTACTAGGGTTGGAGGAGGTTATTGAGGCAGCCTTCTACCCTGAGCTAAACTCAGGGCGGCCTCAATTTTATGCGATGAAGCGCAACCTTTCCTCTTTCCCACCACTCAATACCTCACAGGAAAACAGAAGAGTAGTACAGAGACCTGGAGTCTCTATTCAAATATGTACTTACTCTTTACACACACATACATTGCGCGTTTAAACGAAAACCTGCTTTTAATCGACACTCTTTTTCGTAGTCAAGTTTTTAGCGGGGGCGGGTCCACACAGGACATGCAATCCCGTCTTATAGGTTACTTTCTAACCTTCGGTCCACACAGGACCTCTCTTATTATCCACACAGGATTCTCTTATTATCCACACAGGATTCTCTTATTATCCACACAGGATTCTACGGTTGTGAGTGTCGTTCTAAAGTCGATTTATTCTAAACGCATGATGTTCATGACTGTGTTATATTCACCTTCAAAGTAGCGCTGTGTTCTTTCCCGGTGTAATCGAGTCCTGGCGCCGTGAAGCCTGTCTAAAACACTGGCCAGTAGACGAATTTTACGACTCTGGGCTTTCCTCGTCTTCCTGGAAGCGAGCGTTTGCAGTGCAGGCGATCACAACGTCAGGATCCGATGACTCCGTCTGTGGACAGTTAGATGATATAATAATATCAGTCAAAATCTCCGGCTCGGAGGACCAATTAAATGTCAGTGGTGTGTGACATTTTTAAATACGATGAAGGAATACAAGACAGTCAAAAGGAGTTTTATAGAGCTACGTGCACGGGTGAGTGATCGAGTGATACTCACACCCGAGGCATTGCAGTCAGATTTATTTATACCAAGAGACAGTTGCATAGCATTTCCTGTTTTTCAAGCTTACTTATTAGCATGTGTATGTGTGTGTGTGTGTGTGTGTGTCAGGATGTAATGGCATGTGATACAAAAATATATGAACATTTTAATACATTTGAAAGCTTTATAACGGAGGTATCTTTTAATAATAGACATCTGTAGTTTAAACTTAAAAGTTACTTCTATCTCATAGGTATACGGTTTTCCCAGTTTTGACTTGAACCCTCTGAGGCGGCACACATTTTGGACCATAGCCATCGGTGGGACACTCGGCTGGACAATGACCAGTGGAACTAGCCAGACTCAGGTTCAGAGATACAACTCCTGCAAGAGTATCACTCATGCCAGAATGTGAGTCATAATTTAATGGGAGGATTTTATAACTGAAACAATACTATATCACTTAAAATGTGGAAAATTTTCAGGCTTGCATATGGAAGTGTAAAAATGTGCTAGTCAACTTTCTGCTTGTCTAATCTATTAAGTGCAGTGTACTTGCAAGCAGGACCATAGAATACTCAAAGTCTAGACTTGGTATGATTTAAGGACCCTCAGTCTTGTAACTAATGGGACCCGGATACAGTGCATCCATAAACAAGTGTAGATTTTTCTTAATGCCAGCCTGGCAAGAATGGAAATTTATCCTTTCAACTGTTTCACCTGGTCTCTTTCAGAGCTGTGTTCATCAGCGTGGTAAGTTATTCTTTGTTCCTGGGATCTGCAGTGTTTTCAGGATTGTGCCTCTACTCTTTCTATAAGGACTGATCCATGGACAGCTGGAAAAATTTCTTTTTCTGATCAGGTATTGAGGTTCTGTGTCATAACTTATTCCCTTAAAGTACTAGTGGATCTGCCTGTGGTTTTACAAGCAACAAGTTGATCTTTGTTTCTTCATAGCTGCTGCCATATTTGGTAATGGATATCCTGAAAAGCTACCCTGGCCTCCCAGGACTCTTTCTTGCAGCAGTTTACAGTGGCACCTTAAGGTTTTATACTTTTATTTGCTAATAAAGTATTGCAGTTTCCAACATCAAAAGCTGGGCCTCATCCTGTACTTAATGCATCTTGTTTCCTAGCTGGTTCCATCAGTTAAATGATTGTCAAATGTTACGTGAATGGTTGCAGACCTTTTAATAACTTTTATTAAGCTCAGCACAGTCTCATCAATCATCAACACATTGGCTGCAGTGACTCTAGAGGACCTGATCAAGCCAAATGTCACACTGACTGACAGACAATTGCTTTACATCTCCAGAGCACTGAGTACGTACCTGATCTGTTCACAGTACATGGTGAACTCTGTCCTTTGAGCACTGGTATGTGACTGAGGCTAAAGCTGAATTAGTTATAAATCTTCATGATTAAAATGTCAGTTTTTACACGAAGTTGTTGCAGTATTGGAGGGTTGTGTGTTTCTATGGCTGGCCTGGCATCACTTATGGGACTACTTGCTCAGGTAGTGAGAATCTGTTGATACAAGTCACAACATGAAAATACATAAATCTTAAATGTGGCCTACCAAACACTTGGACTTTTTAAACATGTGCGTGTGTATATAAAGCATTTAAGGTTTCACTTAGGATGTTTTGATGAAGAATAATCATCGGTGAGGTCAGTGGAAGTCCTGTTTGGTCTGTTTGTTTTACTTTTACTGGAGAAGCACAATGTTTAAACACGTTCAATAAAGGCGCTTAGGAGGCTATTGTGGAGCAGGGAAATTATTTTACTGCTATTGTTAAATAATTGTCATCATTACCATTGCATTAATAATATAATCTGGAGTTTATATTGCATTCAGGGGTTGAACAGTGTGTCTTTCAGAAAGGCTAAAAGTCACAGGCTGACAGGAAACAGGCTTGCAGAGAGTTTGCAGAAGCAGGAAGTTATTTTGAGCAGCAGGCTAAGACGAGGCTTTAACAATGTAACAGATAGCTTTAAGATGGCCTTAAGATGTTTATGATGATGTTAATTTTGTATTTCAGGTGCAGTTATGACTATTTTATACACAATGCATATCTGTGCTTATTAAAGAGTTGGAGCTCGGTCAATTAATTGGGGGTTGGAAGCTTTGTTCGGCGCGATGTCCGGACAATCTATTGTGCAAGTGATTTGGAGCCATAGAAGGAATTGCAATACATGCTTACAAAACACTTATATATCAGGTCATTTCATATTAAGGTTTAAGTAGAGGTTCTTGGTTAAAACATTTATTTAGTAGAAGACATACACATAGTCTCCGTGAGCCTCTGGTCTAGTGAAAGGTCAGAAGTGCAACAGGTGAATTAAGAAAGAGCATTTGAGGACGAGACACAGACAGTTAGTAGGTGAAGAGGTGACACAAAGAGCATGTGAGGTCAACACACACACACACATGAGTTAGATTTATTTAGAGGAGAGATTAGTCATGTCTCGGCAAGAAAGAGGAACAATTCACTTTAGGACAAGAACGGAAAGTACCAGCCATGAAAATAGAAGATGATCTTCTGGGTTAAAAGTCATTGTGGTGTTGATCTGATCTATGTATAAAATGTATCTGTGACGCATGAAGGGGCGTCAGTAAATCAAACCCTGACGGTATAAAATCTGTGTATGCTTTGAGGAAGTCGGAGATCACTTGCTGTCGGCGTACAGAGTGTTCTTCCCACACGTGTGTATTCATTAAAATCATTGTTTGACCAAGAGCTCCTGGACCATGGGTGGTTTGTATTCTCCTTCCTCAATTTTGAACCTTAACACTATAACAGTGTGTCTGCAATAACTGATTATCAAACCTTTAACACAATATCACAGAGGGCCCAGAACAAATACACATGGTGTTCCAAATGCAAACACAGCGTAATCTGCAGAAATGACCCAAATCCCAGGACAAAGAGCACGTCCCTATCTGACATCCACCAGCCACAGCACAAGAAAGAGGTCCTTTAAACATGCATCCAGTTTTCTGGTGGTGGCACAAAGCACTATTGTTAC